TCACCTCAACCCAGCTCACTGCAGTTCAGTTCAGCCCAGCTCAACCCAGCTCAGCCCGGCTCAGCCCAGTTCAGCCCAGTCCGGCTCATCCCAGCTCAGCTCAATCCAGCCCAACCCAGCTCGGCTCATTGCAGCCCAGCCCAGCTCGGCTCAGCCAGCTTAACCAGGTCAGGCCAGCTGAGCTCAGCTTAGCCCAGTTCAACCCAGCTCAACCCAGCACAGCTCAGCCAAGCTCAGCTCAACCCAGCTCAGCCTGGCTCACCTCAACCCAGCTCACTGCAGTTCAGTTCAGCCCAGCTCAACCCAGCTCAGCCCGGCTCAGCCCAGTTCAGCCCAGTCCGGCTCATCCCAGCTCAGCTCAATCCAGCCCAACCCAGCACGGCTCATTGCAGCCCAGCCCAGCTCGGCTCAGCCAAGCTCAGCTCAGTTCAGCTCAACCAAGTTCAGCCCAGCTCGGCTCAGCCGAGCTAAGCCCAGCTCAGCCCAGCTCAGCTCAACCCAGTTCTACAACACAGTTCAGCTCAGCTCAGCCCAGCTCCGCCAGCTCAGCTCAGCCCAACTCAGAAAGCTCAGCTTAGCCAGCTCAGCCCAGCCTAGCCCAGCCCAGCTCAGCCAAGCTCAGTTCAGCCCAGTTCAGCTCAGCTCAGCTCAACCCAGTTCAGCCCAGCCCAGCTCACCCTGGCTCAGCCAACTCAGCCCAGTTCAACTCAACCCAGTCAGCCCAGCTCAGCTCAGCTCAGCCCAGCTAAGCTCAGCTCAACCCAGTTCAGCCCAGCATGGCTCAGCCCTGCTCAGCCCAGCTCAACCCAGTTCAGCCCAGTTCAGCACATCTCAGCCCAGCTCAGCTCAGCTCAACCCAGTTCAGCCCAGCATGGCTCAGCCCTGCTCAGCCCAGCCCAGTTCACCTCAGCTCAGCCCAGCTCAGCTCAGCTCAGCTCAACCCAGCTCAGCTCAACCCAGCTCAGGTCAACCCGGCTCATTCCAGTTCAGTTCAGCCCAGTTCAACCCACCTCAGCCCAGCTCACCAAATCAGCCCTGCTTAGCCCAGTTCAGCCCAGCCTGGCTCAGCCCGGCTCAGCCCAGTTCAGTCCAGCTCAGCCCAGTTCAGCGCAGTAGAGCCCAGCTCAGCCCGGCTCAGCCCAGCTAAGCTCAGCTCGGACCAGTTCAGCCCAGTTCAGCCCAGCTCAG